CCTCTTGGACAGCCCAGGTGTAATAGGAGGGTGGTTGTGAAAAGGTTCTGGAAAACATGAAATGCTCTACACATACTGTGTATGCTTTAAAACTCTCATCTAGTTTTCCCTGGACCTCTGTGCTTTACTTCCCAGCCTGCCGGCCAGGACTTCCGGGTTTTCCTTTACTGATTACAGAAGTCACAGCGTCCTACTCATCCTCTAGATCTCAAGGAGGAGGCACCTAACCCTTCCACTCCCTGTGACAGGCTTTGCTGCCCCCGGCCATTGCCACGGCACCAGCAGGGCACGGATCGCATGCCAGGGCTGTGCATCACACTTTACAGTCAGCATCCCTCTCACTTCATAACCGCTCTGGAAGGTACTACTAATGAGAATGAGGAAACTGAGGCTTGGAGAGATTGCGTGACCTGCCCAGGGATAACTTGGCTGGTAAGCGGCAAACTCAAGATTCAAATGGGCTGGCTCCTCCAGGGCCCGAGCTCTTACCCAAACTGCAGGCTGTGACCCACTGGTGAGGCATGAAAACCATTTAGGGGGCTGCAACCAGCACTTTTTCTTTAGTAGCCAGCACTTTATTAAATAAATGGCAATAGAAAGTATCAGAGTGCATCACATTAGTAAGGGCCAGTGTTCTGTCCTGAAACTTTTAAAATATAATCTATATCCAAGTATGTATGTCCTGGATCAAGTTTTAAAATGTATTTATTGTTTGAGAAATATTACACTGAAATTGTGCTTTTTACTTGATCCACTGTAATCTCTTGGACAGCAGGGACTCTGGGTCCATCTTATTGCAGGGCCTGACTCATACATTTTTGGTGAATGACGAAGCCTGTGCCTCTGTTTCCACCTTTAAAGCATGAGCAGACGCCTCAACCAACTGCGTCACTTAACAATGAGGAGGTGGAGCCGAGAGGCCAGGGCAGCCTGTAGGTTCTCCCAGTGAGTCAGGGCAGAGCTGACTATCCTGGTCTCTAGCCCTAAGATGCTCCAGATTTGCTTTAAGGTCAGAGATTTTTTTATATATTGGGGGATTCTCATACCCCTATTAGAATTTAATAAAAAGTGCATACTCATTTATTACCAAACATGGCAAATACTTTCATGAAGTTACTGGACACTTTGAGGCTCATACCTGAATACCAGACTCTGGTGGTCTGAGACATTCATTCACTCACTGGACACATATTTATTGAGTATCTACTACGTGGCAGGCATTATTCCAGTCCCTGCCATGGAGTTTCTAATTGGAAGCCCTCAAAACACGTACATACACATATAATGTAATGTCAGGGGTATTACAAGAACATATAAAGGAGGGAGGAAGAGGGTGCTATTTTACATGAGGTAGTTAGGGAAGGGCCTCTCTGAAAAGGTGACAGAGGCAAGAAGCAAGCAAAGGAATAAGTCATTTAAGTATCTGCTAGAGTATCCCAGGATGAAGGAACAGCAAGGGCAAAGGTCCTGAGGCAGGAATGAACTTCACAATCAAGAAGAACTGCACAGAGCAAGCTGTAGGCCATTATAAGGACTTTGGCTTTCTCTCTGAGTGAAAGAGGAGCTACTGGAAGGTTCTTACATGATCTGACTCATTTCAATATGGTCCCTCAAACTACTCTGTGGACAACAGACTATAGGGGGACAAGAGTGGAAGCAGGAAAACCAGTTAAGAACCTACTTTAACAGTTAAAAGACATGCCGGCACCTCAGTGGTAGCAGTGGAGGTGGTAAATTCTCAAGTTATAGATACATTTTGAAGAGAGAGCCAACAGGATTGCTAAAGTGAGATCTAAAAGAAGTTAAAAATAATCCCTGGAGGAGGGGAAACTATTCTGTAAGACACTGTAATGATACATAGAAGACATTAAGCATTTGTCAAAACCCATAAAACTTTACAGCACAAAGAGTAAACTTCAATGTATGCAAATATTTTAAAAATCACATAGATCAGGGTATCCCAGGACAGAATGCAGAATGTGACATTCTGAATCTAAACATATTAGTAACTTCATCGAAGAGATGGGGGAATAAGATGCTGACCTAAGTAACTGAAAATCAGTAGAGTCCGTACAACCAAAGGCAAAAGGAACTGTACGTATGCATCGTACTCTACTTGATAAAGTTGTTTCCCACAGGGTACACGGGTGAACAATTCTAAAAACCACTATACATGTATACTGGAATTGAACAATTAATTACATGTACGGTGCATGGTGGAAGTCAGGTTTGTCACAGTGGAGTGGGAGGTTACAGATAAGCAAGAGAAGGATACTAGAATAATCCATGTGGTAATGGATGAGAGTTGGAGACATCAGTTATGTTTACCTTAATATAGATACAGGTGGTTACATATAGGAATATTTATACATATATATCTCTTGCTCTGTCCACTAACAGGGCCTGGAAGAAAGCACATTCAGTAGCAATAAGCAGACCTCATGCCCAGATCTTGGTTTCTAGGCCATTCTCCAACGAAAAGAACCAGGGCTCTTTGGGAAATGGCTAATTCTAGGACTGGGGCAGAAATATACAAGATGAGCCTGGAGTAGAAAGGGCTCAGCAAAACCAAACAAAAAACACATGGGCAGGGGAGCATGTCAAAGGGATACAGGAGCCAACTGAAAGAGCTCCCAATGGCCAAAGCTGGAACAATTTGAGCAATGAAATTAAGTAGTACTGGATTATAAACCAAAATATAAAATAAACATTAATAAGTTCATGCTGATATAAATAAATGACTGAATAAGTAAATAAATAAATAATAGACAAATTTCCCATGGAGAAGAATTCCAAATAATTTATATAGATACTCTGCCTTTCAGTGTGAGGTATAATTCCACACTCCTCCAGTGTGGGCTGTACATAATGACTTTCTTCCAAAAGTATAGTATGGAAGGGGGAAGGGAGGAAGAGGAAAAGTAACTTTACAGTGGAAAAGCTTGACTACTACCTCAAGTCAGGTGATCCAAGTTAACATCAACAGTGATAACTCATACTGACAGCAGGGACCCTTGTCATGATGTGATGAGCACTTTACCTCTGTGGTCTTCCTCTCCAAAACCCATAACCCTAGACAAATGCCAAATGAGGGTCATTCTGCAAAATATCTGACCAGTAATCCTCAAAACTGTCAAGATCATCTAAAACAAGGAAAGTCTGGCCAGGCACAGAGGATCATGCTTGTAATCCCAGCACTTTGGGAGGCCAAAGTGGGAGGATCTTTTGAGGCCAGGAGTTCAAGACCAGCCTGGGCAACATAGCAAGACCCCCATGTCTACAAAAAAAAAAAAATAGCCAGGTGTGGTGGCACATGCCTGTAGTCCTAGCTAATCAAGAGACCGAGGCAGGAGGATTGCTTGAGCCCAGTAGTTCAAGGTTGCAGTGAGCTATGACCACACCGCTGCACTCCAACCTGGGTGACAGAGACCCTGTCTCTAAAAAAAAATAAAGAAAAGCAAACAAGGAAAAGTCTGAGAAACACCATAGAGAAGAGGGCCAAAGGAGACATGACTGCTAAATGTAATGTGGTACCCTAGATATGATATTGGAACAGAAAAAGGACATTAGGGGAAAACTGATGAAATATGAATAAAGTATGGACTTTATTTAATAATAACGTATCTATATTGGTTAATTGTGGCAAATGTACCATACTAATGTAAGATGTTAATAATAGGGGAAACTGGGTGTGAGGTATATGGGAACTCACTGAAGTATCTTTGCAATAATTCTGTAAATCTAAAATTGTTCTGAAATAAAGATTATTGAGGGAAAAAAGAACGGGTCAACATTTCAAAATACATAATAACCACTGAGACACGTGGTTGCCAGAGGCTTTACCATCTTCCAATGTTGTATATAGTGTGTTGGTAGGGGATTCTTGACTTCTAATGAAGGGATTTTAAATTCTGTTCTGAGAATTCAACTGAAACAGACTGGGGAATAGAAAACCACTGTCAGGAATTACTGCCTTACAGCAATGGCTGTATACCCAAACCCGTCCCAATATAACAAATTCCCAAGTTGCACAAAACTGGGTTAGAATTTTGTCCTATGGAAAGCTAAACCATTTCTCAGGGTGGAGTCACAACTGGTAGCCGGTAGGCTGAAACTGATACGCAGATGTTCTGCAAAATATAATTATTAATCCAAATTTGTTGCCATCATTTTAAAAGTATGAAATTTCTCATATTCATTTCCCGCTTCTCTTAAAAAGAATTCATACAACAAACACGTACTGTGCACCTACTATGCTCTTCACATTCACCATCTCATCTTCAGCCAGCGTGCCCATTTTACAGAGGAGAAAACTGATAACCAGAGAGGAAAAGTGATTTGCCCACGGTAACACAGCAATACGGAGCACACCCGGCCAGACTGACTCCGGAGCTCAGGCTCCTCCTAATGCTCCACCCGTGGGAGGAAAGGCCCTGGTACGCCTTGAGGAGCTCTAGGCTCTGGCCCAGGCTCTGCACTAAAGCTCCAAGCGGCACCTGGCGAGGCCCTCCGCCTCCCACCCTAGGACTCAAATTCCCCTCTGCAAGTAACTTTCTAACGAGCACCACGGGAAGTTATTCACGCCCCGCGGAGCGACTCCCGGGCCGCCCGAGCAGCGCTGCCGGGGGCACACAGGCCAAGCCGGCGGGCCGGAACCCGCCTCTTCCCTCGGTTCCCGCTGCACCGCGGACTCCGCCCCAACACGAAGCCGCGGCCCAGCCGCCGGCGCCGCGAATCTCACCTCCTGCGCCGCCGCGCCGCTCCCCCGGAAGTGGATCCCCATAACCCCGGGTCCCGGAAGTGACGTGCCCTGAGCAACCGGCGGGCTCAGCTCCGCCCGCGTTGCTAGGGATGTGGCGCGACTGCTGGGTTTTGTCTGACTTTTGTGCCTGCTCTGTGGATTTGAGCTGGACGGAGATGTCTGAGGAAGCGACCTGTTGATTCTCCAAGCTTCTTCATCACTCAGCCTAATTCAAAAAACATTTATAGAAGCCTTAATTCTAATGCCAGGCCCTGAGTTAGGAGCCTACTACGCAGAGGGAAGACAAAGACATCTTAAATTCAAAACTGAAGCAAATCATTATCAGTCATTCAAAAAACATTCACCAGGCACCTACTCTGTGACTTGTGCTGGTCACTGAGCGTACAGTGCAGAACCAGACAGATGCAGTCTCTGCCTTCATGGAGCTTACAGTCTGTTGGAGGGAGACGGACTAAAATAATTAAACGAACATGTAATCATACAATGTGATTAGTGTTTGGAAGGCAAAGAACCGGGTTCCATGGGGTGGGATGGAATGGATGGGGCAAGTAATAGGAGGAAAGGAGACCTAGTTTAGCTCGTGGTATCAACCTCTGTGGACCCAGGTGATTCTTGGCTCCCGGTATCCAGGCCCTTGTGTAGTCCCCTCCCACAGCGAATAGGGCCGACATGTGTAATGCATAGGATATTGTGGAAGTCATGGAGCATGAGTTCCAAGATAAAGTCATAGAAGACATTGCAACTTCTTTGCTCTTTCTTGATCACTCACAGGGAATCCATGTTGTGAGGACACTCAAGCAGTACTATGGAGAGGTTCACATGGGTGGTGACTAAGCCTCCTGCCTAAAACCAACTCCAGTTTGCCAGCCATGTGTGTGAGCCACCTTCAGCGTGGATCCTCCAGTCCTAGTCAAGCCTTCAAATGACTGTGGCCCTGGCCAAAATCTTTAATATACACTCATGAGAGACCTTGAGCCAGAAATACCCAGCAAAGTCACTTGAATTCCTGACCCACAGAAACTGTGAAATATTAAATATTATTGTCTTAAGCTCCTAGGTGTCAAGGTAATTCGTTATACAGCAGAGATAACTAATATAATACATAGAGGATCAAGGAACAGAGGTTGGATGCTTGAGATTCAAAAAAGAATGAGACTTATTTTAACCTCAAGGCATTTACTCTTTCTTAGAAAACACAGGCAGAAATAATTCGCTCAACATTCACTAATCCCATAACATATGGGATGGTATGGGGGATCCAAAATACATAATTCATTCCTTCATTTTTTCATTTAACAAATATTTATGGAATTTCTACTCTGGAACATGCACTATGAAACTGGGAAGCCTATGGAGGGTAGGTAGGTCCCTACCCTCACTGTGCTTATGGACCAGGGGTTAATGTCTGTCACACCCACTAATCGTTCACACAGATAAATGTATACTTATAAACCACGAGATGTGTTGGGAAGAAAGAAGGGGGAACCACAAGAGAACAAATAACATGGGAGATACAATCAAGAAAGGGTGATCAGGGAAGGCCTCTGTGAGGAGGTAACATTTAAGGTAAGAAATGAAGAATGACTAGGAATTGGCCCAGGAAAGAGAAGGCAGAAAGAGCATAGTAGGAGTTGGAAAGGCCAGATTGTGGGAAAGGGCACAAGAGCACAAGAATAGCTAAGGGGGTGAAGCTGAGGCCTGAAGGGTACAGATATTTAGGACAGGACATTGTACTTGCCCTGGAGGGCCTCACTGTGTGATGTGGATGAGGAGAGTGTTTTATGGGTTGAACTGTGTCCCCCCAAAAAGGTATGTTTGAGTCCTAACCTCCAGCACCTCAGAATATGATCTTATTTGGAGATAGGATCTTTACAAAGGTAATCAAATTAAAATGAGGTCGTTAGGGTGGGCCCTAATCCAATACGACTGGTGTCCTTATAAAAAGGGGAAATTTGGACACAGATGCACACAAAGGGAGAATGTCGTGTGAAGATGAAGGCAGATATCAGGGTGATGTTTCTATAGTCCGGGAGCACCAAAGATTGCCAGCAAACCACCAGAGCCTAGGAGAGAGGCATCGGACAGATTTCTCATAGCCCTCAGAAGGTACCGGCAGACATCTTGATTTCAGATTCCCAGCCTCCAGAGCTGTGATAAAATAAATATCTGTTGTTTAAGCCACCCAGTTTGTGGTACTTTGTTACAGCAGCCATCGTATACTAATACCTGTGTGCAGGTGCTTTGAAACTTGTTATTCCCTGTATCCAAAGGTAAAAGATCCCCAATGTGACTGCTGCAGGCACAGCTACCTGCTCACTCTCTGGAAGCTCATAGAGGCCTCCAGCCCAATTTTGCTCATCTCTGTGCCCCGTGTGGCTCCATTAGTGCCACAGCATGGTGGAGCGCTGTGTGGCATGCTTGTTCCTATCCATAATATCTATGTGAGGCACAGTGTTTGCACTATGAAGGAGAAAAAGTTGAAAAAGTCATGGTCTGTGCCCTGAAAAAATTTTTCTAAACTAGATTAACACTTAACTGGGTGAGCCAGTTTTGTAAGTATTAATTGTAGCAGCCACTTATTGTGTATTCCCTAGGTGCCAAGAACTTTACATATGTCAATATTTCCCCTAGCACCCTTGTAAAGTAGGTATTACTATCTGCATTTATGGGTGAAGAAACCTAAGGCTGGAAAAGTTAAGCAACTTCCCTAGGAGACTGTGTGCTTAACCATTGCACTACCCAGCCAATCTGTGCAAGCCAGATGAGTGCTACAGCCGCGAGAGCTCCAGGAAGACAGGAAAGATCCACAGGTATCTGGGAAGCTTTCATGAGGGAAGCAGCTTGGTGTGGTCCCAAATGATGGGTTGGATTGGATATAGGGAAAGGAAAGTAGAAGTGCAGATTTGCTTTACCGAGCCTTTGCCTTTGTTGGTCTCTCTGTCTCGAATGCTCTCTGCTCCTGGCTCTTCATAAGACAGGCTCCTTCTCACCTCTCAGCCCAAGTGTCACCTTCACAAGGCTTCCCTGATGTCCTTTATAACTGATTGCTTTCCTTTTTTTTTTTTTTTTTTTTTTGAGACAGAGTCTTACTGTGTTGCCCGGGCTAGAGTGCCGTGGTGTCATCCTAGCTCACAGCAACCTCAAACTCCTGGGCTCAAGCGATCCTCCTGCCTCAGCCTCCTGAGTAGCTGGAACTACAGGCATGCACCACCATGCCCGGCTAATTTTTTCTATATATTTTTAGTTGTCCAATTAATTTCTTTCTATTTTTGGTAGAGACGGGGTCTCGCTCTTGCTCAGGCTGGTTTCGAACTCCTGAGCTCAAACAATCCGCCCGCCTCGGCCTCCCAGAGAGCTAGGATTACAGGCATGAGCCATCGCGCCCGGCCTGCTTTCCTTTTTTTATATACATTTTTTGTAGAGACAAGAGTCTTGCTATGGTGCCCAGGCCAGTCTCAAACTCCTGGCTTCAAGCCACCCTCCCGCCTTGGCCTCCCAAAATTCTGGGATTACAGGCACGAGCCACTGCTCCCGGATGAAGCGTGATTGCTTTTCCTAAAGATGGCTGCAGCAGTATTTGTCATTCTGCATGCTCTTGACTGCTTTGCGTGATAGACTACCGTGGAAGAGATGCTGTGTCAGTTTCGAGTGTGGCACTTACCAGGCCCGGAAGTTAGCCGCCATGCCAGAAGTACGACTACCCTATGACCACCAAGCTGTGAGAAGCCCAGACCATGTGGGCAGAAAGTCCAGGGAGCATCAGGCAACAGACTCGAGAGTGAAGAAGCCGTCTTGGAGACGTGGAGAGGTGGATATGTATGTGATAAAGTAAATGTGGCAGAATGTTAAGCATAGAATCTAGGTGGTGGATATCATGTTCGTTGTACAATTCTTTTGACTTTTTTGTAGATTTGAAATTTTTCATTATAAAATTTGGGACAATAAAGAAACCATTTTGGAAGTGGATTCTCCAGCCTCTGCCATCCCAGCAGGCACCACATGGAACAGAGGTGGCCCCCAGCCCAGCCTTACCCAGATCCCTGACCCACAACTCATAAGCGCCATAAGTGAGTAGATTAAGCCTCTAAGTTGTGGGGTGTGAATAACAGAAACCCCCTTTCTAAGCAAAGCTCCCTTGCTTTCTTTCATAGCTCCCTGCCTGTTTCTTTTATTGTGGTTACCACAATCTGTAATTCTCTTGTCTGCTGACCTATTTATTTATTTTTATTTTATTTATTTATTTATTTTTTTGAGACAGAGTCTCACTCTGTTGCCCTGGCTAGAGTGAGTGCCGTGGCGTCAGCCTAGCTCACAGCAACCTCACACTCCTGGGCTCAAATGATCCTTCTGCCTCAGCCTCCTGAGTAGCTGGGACTACAGGCATGCGCCACCATGCCTGGCTAATTTTTTTTTTCTATATATTTTTAGTTGCCCGATTAATTTCTTTCTATTTTTAGTAGAGACGGGGTCTCGCTCTTGCTCAGGCTGGTCTCGAACTCCGGAGCTCAAACAATCCGCCCGCCTCAGCCTCCCAGAGTGCTAGGATTACAGGCGTGAGCCACCGCGCCCGGCCTTGCTGACCTATTTATTAACAGTCTGTCCCCCACTAGGACGTAATCTCTGTTTCCTCTGTTCGCTCCTGTCTCCCAACACCTAGCACACCGCCTGGTTCTTGTAGGTACGTATGAATGTTTATTGAGTGACTGAGTAGGACCAGGAGATGTAGCCCCTCTGAAGAGTAATGTGAGAGAATATTGAGGTCATAGAGTGGGGGCCAAGCTGGTATTTGTTACTTGGGCTGCCCAACCTCTGGGC